GGTAATTCAATTTCCATCTGTTTGAGAAATCGCCAAACCGATTTCCATAGTGGCTGTACATATCTATAGGTCCACCAGCAGTGGATGAAGGTTCCTTTCTCACCACAGCCTCTCCAACAATTGTTGCTTTCTGATTTTTTGAATTGGGCTATCTTTGAGGGTGTTAGGTGGTATCTCATAGTTGTTTTAATTTGCATTTCTCTTATGGCTAATGATCGGGAACATTTTCTCATATTTTTATTGACCATTTGGATTTCAGACTCTGAGACTTCTGTTCAGGTCCTTTTCCCACCTCCTCAGTGGGCAGTTAGTTTTTCTCTTATTGTGAGCTTGCAAGGTATTTTAGATTTTAGTAATAAGGCCTTTGTCTGATGTTTCATTGCTAAAGATGTTTTCCTAGTTGTGGACTCTCTTGGTGAATTCTTTGAATGTACACAGGTGTCTTATCTTCAGTATGTTCTACTTGTCTATTTGTGAGTCCTCTATGTTTGTATCCTTTCCTATTTCTGATAGCCTATGTATTCCCTGTGCCAAGGTTCTCAGGTTTGTCCCAATTCCTTCATTTATGGCCCTAATTGTTTGGGGTTTTATCTCAAGGTCTGTGGTCCCTTGAGTTCATTCTTATGCATGGAGTGAGGTAGGGGTCTTGCTTCATTTTTCTTCAGGTAGGTATCCATTTTTTCCAACACCATTTATTGAAGATGGCATCTGCTTCCCATTTAATATTTTTGGGGCCCTTATCAAAGATCAGTTGCCTATATGCTGATGTTTTTATTTTTGTGTCTTCAGCTCTTTTCCATCGGTCTGAGTATCTGTCATTATGCCAATACCACACTGTTTTGACTACCGTAGCCGTATAGTATGTGCTAAAGTCAGGTAGAGCAAGCCCTCCCACTTTGTCCTTCTTCTTGAGGAGTTTTCTGCTTATTCTGGACTTCTTCCCCCTCCAGATGAAGTTGGTAATGTTTGTCCAATTCTTTGAAGAAGGATGGTGGTACTCGTATTGGGATAGCATTGAACTTATATGGTGCCTTGGGCAGAACTGACATCTTTACTATATTGAGTCTGCCAATCCACTAGCATGGGATATTCTTCCATTTGTTGAGGTCACTCTTGATTTTTTTAAGTCATGTTTTATAATTTTCCTCATACAGATCTTTTGTTTTTTTAGTCAGGTATATCCCTAGGTATTTCAATTTGTGCTTGGCTATTGTAAAGGGTACTACCTTTTTAATCGCCTCTTCTGTGACCTTTTCTGATGTGTAGAGCAGTCATAACCACTTTTTTAAAGTATCAGATTTATTGATGTAGGCAAAGAAAGCTGTCTTATTAGCATTTTCTAAAATCAGTCAACTATGTTTTCATATACATACTGTGTATATTGTATACATGTTGCTATTGTTAGGTGCCATCGAGGTATAAGGAAATAATTACCAGTTCCTGCACCATCATCACAATTGTTCTTGTGTTTAAGCCCATTGTTGCAGCCATCTTGTTGAAGGTCTTCCTCTTTTTCACTCTTTCACTTTTTCACCGTCTCCTTTCCCAAGAATGCGATGCCCCTTTTTAGGTACTAGGCTCTTCTGATAACATGTTCAAAGTATGGGAGATGAATTCTCTCACTGTCCTTACCTCTCAAGTACATCCGTACGTCTTCCAGTGCAGATTTGTTGAGGGTACTTTCTGTATTCCACCTGCACCATAATTCAAATGCATTGATTCTTCTTTGGTGTTCCTAATTCATTGTCCATCTTTCATATGCATATGAAGCGATGGCAAATGCCATGGCTTGCAACAGGAGCACTTTAATCCTCAGTGTTACATCCTTTCTTTTCAGTACTCTGAAGAGGTCTTGTGCAGCAGATTTTACCAATACAATTTGTTGTTTGATCTCTTTACTACTAGTTCCATGAACCTTGATTATGATCCAAGCAAGATGAAACCCTTGATAACTTCCATCTTTTCTCTGTTTATCATGATATTACCCATTGGTCCAGAGTTGTAAGAATTTTTGTTTTCTTTATATTGAGTTGTATTCCATACTGAAGGTTGCAATCCTTGTTTATTTGTATAATGGTGTGATGGAATAAAGTCTGTGGAAATAAAGCCTTTGGGATCATTATTTGCTGAGAGGGCATGATTCAAAATGAGAGCAGCTGCGCACATCTATTTGTAATTGGACTTTGGAATGTACAAAGTGTAAATCTAGGAAAATTGGAAGTTAACAAAATTGAAATCAATATCCTAGGTGTTAGTGAATTGAAATGTACTGGTATTCACCATTGTGAATCAGGCAGGAATGACAGATTCAGGAAGAATAGGGTTGCATTTATTGTCAAAAAGGACGTTCTAAGATTTACTTGAAATATAATGTTGTCCTTTAATGTACAGTGATAGGATAATATCTATCTGCATTCAAGGAAATCCAGTCAATACAACCATTAGTTAAGTTTGCATAGCAACCACTAGAGCTACTGATGAAGAAACTGAAGAATTTTACCAATCTCTTTAGTCTGAAATTGATCAAGCAGTCATGGTGCAGTGATAAAGATTGCTGATTGGAATGCAAAACTTGGAAACCAAGCAGAAGGAAAAATAGATGGGATTAATGTGTTGGTGGTAGTAATGAATCTAGAGATTCCATGATAGGATTTTGCAAGATGAAGTACTTCATCGCAAATACCTTTTTCAAAAACAAAAAAAGGCAACTGTACACATGGACTGCTCCAGATGGCATATGTAGAATTATAATGTCTGTGTATACATATAATCTTTTTCGAGCGTTTCCATAGATTTCATATAATAGCGGTTGTTTCATTAGTAGGTAATTATTTTTACATATCACATGGCCTGAAAATCTTGAAATACTTTAAAATATTCAAAAGACATTCCTTAAAAATCTGTTGCTTTCTTGAAATACTGATTTCTTGAACTATTGTGTTTATCGATTATGAGTTGGCCTACTTTTGTTGAAATGAAAGTAATGATAGAATATACCTGATGTCTGTTACCATCGTCTTAGAAATTTGTAGTTCTCTTGAATAAATTTGTCTTCAAAAAAAAAACAGTTCAGAAGTTCTAAACCTAGGGTCTCAGGACCATAGTCTTATGGGACACACCAAGGTCAATTGGAATAATGTAGTTCAAAAAGGGAATGTTCCACCATGGATGGATATAGGAATCACTAGAAGAAAGTAGCATAATCAATGGTCTATTGAGGGAATTGAAATGTATGGGTTAAAACAAAATATATTGTACATAGTTGAAGATAAGATATGATCTGTTATTTAAACCTTCACCTAAATTGTAAGAAAAGTTAAAAGCTCAGTTATTTTTAAAAGTTTCACACTATTAGTTGAATGTTTTAATAACTCAATTTAAAAAATAGAACTAGTTTTGAAAATTCCCCTGTAAATAATTTTAAGATAGAAATTTATAAATGTGAAGAAACTTATGCCAAATTTTGGTGAAGAATTTAACTCTACAATATGCAACATTTTTTGCTTTCTTATTGACTGAATTCTTTTAAGTTGTAGTAATACCCTTTTATGAATAGCTATATTTTAAAATGTGTTGTTTCTTAAGTATCACATTCCTTAAGTTTTTTAGTTGTAAGACATTGTGATGTACCCATGGACTAAAAACTCCTGAGTTGCATTTTCATCAATTTATATGTTTAGATTTGAATTTTATACCTAGGGACTTCAGTATCACATCACACAACTCATGTTCAAATGTCAGTGAACATGTAATTGTTTCTATATTTCATATTGCTTTGAATTTCTCCTATAAATCTTTTGTGACATGAATTGTTTCATTGTTAGTAGCATTGATTTATTTTAGTTCATGTTACTTAATATGAATGCATATTTACAAACTTGCCACATTGTAGCAGGTACCTAGATTTGACTATTCCTTAAGTTTAAGTTTTATCATTTTCAGTAATAGGAGCTTTGTAGGGAATACTATATTTTTCAGTAGAAGAGATGGTGTTTTGGGTGTGTGCTTTTTTTCCTTTAACATCCCTCTCAGTGAGCTGTTTTTTGTTGATAAAGTGAGTACTCAACCATTTTCTGGCACTTGTAATCAATGGATGTAATTTGTAGGTAAAGCTTTAAACAAATGTAATTATTCCAATAATTGTATTATGTTTTTACATTAATAGATAATTTGTGAATTAGCAATAAACTACATTTATCATTCAAATTCTAAGTTAGATTTTGATTTAAATATCACAGCCAGAAATTTGAGAACCCTGGGATTGCTGTCTTCAATAATTGTTCTCAAGGTATTGTAAATATATAGACATGTATCTTATTAAATATTAGCCAGTAGTGAAATAACTCTATTCAATTAGACGACATTGTTCTTGTTTTATTTTTAAAGGGATTTCCAACCAGCTTTGATGGTGTGGTGGATAACATGTTGGGCTGCTAATTTCAAGGTCAGTAGTTTGGATCCACCAGCCACTCCAAAAGAGAAAGGTGAAGTTTCTTCTCCTGTGAAGATTTGCAGCCTCAGAAACCCCAAGGGGGCAGTTCTACTTTGCCCTACAGGGTTACTATGCGTCAGAATTTATTTTATGGCAGTGAATTGTTGTGGCTAATTTTAGGAACTGGGTTATACCCTGTAGGATAGAATGGAACTGTTCCTTTGGGTGTCTGATGCTGTAAACCTATGTGGAAGCAAAGTGCTTCGTCTTTTTCCTGTGGAACAACTGGTGGGTTCGAACTGCTGACCTTGAGGTTAGTAGCCAATGCCTACAGGGACTCTGAGTTGGCATCATCTCAGTGGTTGTCTTTTTTGGGAGGCTGGTAATAAACAGTCATGAAAAACAATTGCATATTGTAATAATGTCATAAATTAAGAAATATATAACCACAGAACAAAAGAATGGATGGCTGCCTTTGCTTAACAGAATTTTTAATTTAGATATTAGGAACTAGAACATGTACTTTCAGAAGTTATTGATGTCCTTTACTGCAATATTTTTATTTTAGGCTGCAGTTCATGGAGCTCGTTTCAAAGGGCAGGACCTAAAACTGGCATGGAATAAACCAATAACTAATACTTCAACTGCTGAAATAGAAGAAGCTGAACCAGATGAAGAGGAAGTATGTTTTTTGTTTGTTTTTCATTTATTTTTAACCTTTAAGTTTCTATTCCTATATAAAATGTGGTTTTTACAATTGTGATTTTAATATAAAACTTTATTTCTGAGCCATATTCCAAGCAGGGAGTGGCAGATAAATGTTTGTAGTCAGCTTTAAATTTTCTAAATTAATGAAACTGGTGGTAAATTGGTAATCTAGAGAGAATATATGAAATCACATTAATCTTAGTTTTCACTTACTTTTAGATGACAGTAATTCATTAGATTTTTTTATTCACAGGAAAACTTGTATGACATTTAAAATTTTAGAGGTTCGGTTTTACTCAATTGTTTTTTTAACATTTAGCTTCCCTATATTTTACTTTTCATGCTTTCAGTTCAGTAGAGTGAATGCCTGCTATACGTTAGGTACTGTGATAGGCACAAAAATGAATAAGACACGGTCCCTATCAATAAGGAGCTTATAATCTGAATAGAAGGGATGGTAGCAGATATACAGAAAATGCTATAATAAAAGGCAGAGTTATATACTGAACAAAGACTTGAACAATGTGCTGTGGGAACCCTGAGGAAAGTATGCTTTGGTTTTTGTCCATAAGAATCTTGAAGGAGGTATGGCAGTGAGCTCTGGGTCCTTCGTGATAAAATAGCTTTCTATAACATTTTAGACAGGGATGGACTTCAGGAAAGATGTCAAATCGTTAATTATCTTAGGCAACAGAAATTAGCTTGGTACTGAGAGGTGTGGATACATAGGCCAGCCAGTGAGGTAGGCAGAACATTTGAGAAATACAGGTGGGGAAATGAGTTCCTGCTTATCTATCTTAGATTTTCATAATAGCACATCATTTTCTTTGAAGGACATTTCAAGACTGTTATACATGTCTATAGTCAAATGCAAAAATAAAGTGTATACTTTGAAACTCATATACATGATTTGTCATTTTATATTTTAGATTATACCTTTGTCCTTCCATGAGTTTGAATTGAATGGGGAGAAAAGCAGGAGAGCTCCGGGTATTAGGTATTTTGAAAAGTTTGAAAAAGCAGCCTGTTTCTATGAAGGGGATGGAAAGTAGAAAATAATGTTAAAAAACAAAATGCTATATCCAGCAGAAAAGAATATACATTTTGGTAGAATAAATTTTTGGCTCATTTAGTTTTTAAGGTTAGATGGGGCAGTTCAGGGACGATGACCATGCTTTCTTTAAACAATAAAGTTTTGGGACAGCATTTTGGCTGTGACATAATTTGAGAGCCAGGAGATGTACATATGTAGATGGCATGATTTGAGAGCCAGGAGAAAAGGCATATATAAAGACTCTTGATATTTCATTTGTCCTTGTTTTCATGTAAGCAATAGAACAGATACTATAGAAAAACCATTGAGTGAATAAGGTTGCTTTTCTTTGTTTCTTAAATGTTGCAATTATAGAAATACCTTTCGTATTCGACCTTGTTAAGAGAGAGATCAGTATTTTAAAGTGTCAACTTTTTTTCTTTTTCTTTTCTTTTTTCCTTGGGGTAAATTCCTAAATACATTTTAAACTAAAGTTTCAGGAAGAGTCTTTGGTGGATGACTCATTACTTCAAGACGATGATGAAGAAGACGACGACACTGAATCTCGTTCTTGGAGAAGATGATTTGACTGATCACTGATCTGCATATGCTAGAACTCTTCCTGTGTTTCATTAGTTTTATCTAATGTACTTTGACATATTTGTAAAAACAATTTTTGGTAAATTGTGATGAAGATGGATTTCACAAATAGACAAAAGAGAAGAAAACTACCTTCTGATCTTGTATTTTGAAAGATTGATGTTTGCGTTTTATTTCAGTAAACAATTGCTAAGACATCACTCTAGAAACATATGCAATGTTTTTATTACATACTTCTACTGAACGCTACAGGATTCTTTGGCTTCTTTGTAATTTAATGAATAGGTCTGAAAACTTAAGACCAATACTTGTTATAATTTAGAAGGTTTTGTTTTACTCCAAATAAGGAATGAATTTGCATTTAAAATCTTAATGAATGTTTTCAAAAAAGGAATAGATAACATAGTATTCTAACTAAAGTCTCCCAAGTTATGTATTCATAATATTACATAGTAGTATGCTTAGGCTTTACTATGTATTAGCCTTTAATTGAATCTGTGTGTGTATTTTACCTTATGGGTTTAAATGATAACGGTGTATGACTGCTTTGCATATGAGTGATTATGCATTCAGATGTTAAAATAAAGTGGAATGGTCTCTAAAAAAGAAAAGAGGAAAAAAATGATAAAAAAAAAAGACAATATTCTTTGATTTAAAAAAAAAAGAAAAAAGAAAAAAAAAAAAGACCATTCCAGATGGCAATCTACCCTCTCCCCCAATTATCACAAAAGGAGCTATAATCACTAATTCACTCTTAATAATAATGGTTACTGGTACCTTTTCTATAATGTACAATCCAATGTTTAAAATTTATACCACTTTAGTTTGGTTTGATCTTATAAACTTTCAACAGATGTCTTAAGATTTAAAAACAGGCTGATTAGTTTGGAAGCAGACTTCAAGTAGAACTAACATTTGAGGAATAAGAAAACATCACATTACATTTTGGATGTATGAAAGAAACATGACCATTTGAAGATGTATGAATAAAGAAATGTACTATAAATACTGCTTTAGGAAAACACTGTTTGGTAAGTGTTCCAGTCTGATATTTTAAGTGTGCATTTCCTATACTTGTATAAAAAATGTTGACAGTGCAGAAATACTGTTCTTTTTCTGGCAAGTCAACATTCTGGTTGAAAGTGAATACAGCAGTTTCCAGGAAATAAGTGGGTTTTGTAGTATGAAGGGGTGGGTGGATACATATTTACCTCTTAAAATTCATCATTATGGCTATAAGTATTTCTGCCTATCCTAAAATGATAGTGATTACATAATTAGTTAGATTTCTAAAGTCATCATCCTTCAGATTGAGATCCTCACACTGCAAAATATATAATGTCGTCAACACCACCACCATAGTCTTCTGCTTTTGGAATACTTAGTACATGTTGTTATCTGTGTCATGTCCCCCCACCCCCACCCTCCCACCCCCACATACAGTGCATATATTTTTTTATGATAATGGGAATGTTTTGACACGCAGTTGGTGCATATGTTTATACTGAAATTTTAAAAATCCAGTATCAGATGGCAAATAGTGACTTCACTCAACAAAATTTTTACTATCCTTAGATCTGTATTGTATGTTGACTGTGTGCTATTCTGATTTGTTAGGTAAGTGTGTTTTCTTTTCTTTTTAGTAGTCGTGAAAGGTGCCAAATTGGCAGAGGCTCACGTTGCTTCTCTTTACACCAAACAGGTATTATAAAGAAAGTAAATCTTTCAAAGGCCAGTTAAATCGTCATGCTAATTTTTGATTTTATAATTTGATTAGTCTATTTTAGCTTGATATTTTAAAAATAACAAATCCCCTTTTAATTAACTGAAATACCTACTGTGTAAATTAAATTCATAAATAGCAAATCAGTTTTTCTGGTCTGAATATAATAACGTAAAATGTAAGACTGTCTTAAGCTATGTGTCTGAAGGAATCAGAAGAAAAGTGTGTTCTTATTTTGCCTCAAAGTATGGGGATTAAAATTAGCAACATTCATTAGAGTCATAATTATATTTAATTAGAATTATGCAATTCTGATGATAAATTTTATTATTTTAATTATTATGTCTATAAATGTGTAGTACTCTACATGTACTTATGATGTGTTCTCATATAAACCTAACGTATCCCTTACAAGTACAAATGCAGGATCTTAAGTCAGTAGAAGCATAGTGACTTGCTCAAAGTCACAGCTAGTTAATGGAAGGATTGAATTCTGAATATAAACTTTCTGATTTCAATTTCAACTTTATCTTGCATACCTCCTTAATTACTGAATGAACATGAGACTGTATCAATGTGATAGTTTGTGCTTCAGAGATACTGTACAAAATTAAACTTCTTGGCTACTAGTGAGTTCATACTGTTATCACCCTCCCTTTAAATACAGCACTTTTGTTCATATTTCTGTTATAATATTTACATTGTAATATAATTTATCTGGCTCATATGTCTGTCTTCCCAGTAGAATACAAGCTCCTCAAGGATTGGGGACCATGTCTTATTCATCTTTTCCTCTCTAATGCTAATCACAAAACCTGGCTAGTCATGTGCACTCAGATGTATGTTGTATGAATTACCGAATGAATGCATATTTGAATCTCCAATAAAGGAGTGACAGTTTACCTCCCTTGTTAATTCTTATCAATTTTTCAAAATTATGTCTTGAAAGTCTTTTTTTTTTTTAATCACTGGAACTATTTTGCTAAACAATTGATAGTTTATTTTCTTACCAGTGGTGTATTACAAGTACTTAAGGAAGTGTACACATACATACTTAGTGGAATTTGAGTGTTCGTTTCAAGTGTAAAATAGTCTTTTGGTTTCTATCAATGTGTAAGAATAGAAATGCTAGGAGCCAGTGTCATCTGGCCTCAGACAAGTTTCCTAAAATAAACTTTCCTTATCTTAAAAGGAAGAGAGCTGCATCAAACGTTTCCAAACTTACTTGGCTTATTGCCTCCTTTTTGGAGAAAACATTACTCATTTCCCCTGTAATTGAACACTTTTGTACTATATAGCCATTTCCCAGGATAAAGTGTAGGTATCTGCCTTTGCAGTTCCCTGGATTGCTTCAGTGCTCACAGGGGACAGTATTGCCCACTTTGGAAACACTGAAATATTTTCGAAGATATATTTTACTTTTACAATTTCTTTGGTGTGGTATGTTAGTATTATAGCTAAAACAATTTATCTAAACTGATTGTCTCTTGTTGCTATTGCTATTTGTCATATCAACAGAAACAATTTTGATTTTACTATAACTCATAAAATGTCTTAGTGTAATTGTGTATATTGTGTTCCTTTAATGCTTGCATTTTCCAGCATCAATTATATGTATCCTATATAATATAGGTTAATTTTTATACACTCCTCACTTATCAGCTATCTTGTTTATTTGACATTTCACATTTATGATAATAGTGAAAATTCTATATTTTTTGTGCACTAATGATGCATGTCTGGCAGTAATGAATGCCAAGGTGCAAGGCAAGATTAATCCTGGCTATGATGCTTAGGATTATATATCAACCTGGTTGGGCCATAAATCACATTGATTTGACAGTTTTGTAATAATGAGATTTGGCTGTCATATAATGAAAGTTATCATTTTATGATCTGATGTTGTCGTCATTCATTTTCCATAATGATCTGGCAGTCTTAGAACCTAACCATGTCCATAAATGTATTCAATAGCACTTCCATTTCCTAATTGTAACTTTTCCTTTTATTTCTAAATTGAAAGTCTCAAAAATCCCTACAAGTATTTATAATTCAGATGCAGTTAATTCTCCCATCAATATGCAATTAGTATCCTCTTTTTTATTTTGGTTTATTTTATGCTTTTCTGCCCCCAAACACATTTTTAAAATTCTATAACTCTCAACAAGTTCTATCAATGATTTAGTACAGGTCTGGCCGTTGTAGAAATGAGTTAGATGTGGGAAAGAATTTAAGACAATATGTAGGTATTTATTTTTTATAGAAAATAGTTGAGGGATATTTCCCTGGTTAAAAGATTGATTAGGATTACCTCAAGGGGTGGTTAACTTGTCATTTTATATTTTTCACCAAATATTTTCTATCTCATTATTGTTTTGTTTACTGAATGAATGTAAATTTAAAAATAATTTAAATATTTAACTGATACCTAAATGTATTTAATGAAATTATGCTTATATGAATGACAGAGTATCCCATAGCTTTTGTTTTATTGTAATCAAATGTAACAGCCAGTAGTTTAATGATTAAAAACAAGAGTTTATCACATTACTGGTAGAGAGCATGGCTGAGCTAATCTGAAAGAAATTTCTTTTCGCTAGAACTGTTTATGACTTTATTTCTGCTCTTACTGGGATCTTGAAACAGTAGGCAGTAGCTGTCAGGGTTATAAAAAGAAAGGAAATAGTTACTTGTTTAGTGTGTTGAACTCTTACTAGATATTTAGAGTATTCTAAAAGCTTATCAATTAGTATTTTCCCCCTCGTACACATCATGTAGATGAGTAATTACAGAAAATTGTTACTGCCCTTCTAAAATGTATAGAAGCATCAGGTGTTTTCTTAAAATTTCAATTACCGTATATCCTCGAGTATAAGCTAACCCGAATATCCGCTGAGGCTCCTAATATTACCACAAAAACTGCATTAAAAAATATGCTGAAAAACTCGGCTAATACTCAAGTATTTATGTTAGCCTTTTGAAACAAATATGCCCTGCATGAAACTCTGGTCAATTAAATTCACTTAGTGATCTCTTCCTGTGTCCTTAGTAAACCCTCTAAGTTAAAGATGGAAATTTCATCTAGAATTAAGTCACAATGTATAATATTTTACAGCAGAAAGGATTTCTTTCTCTCACATCTCAGAAACTTCTTGTCTAGTTAACTTCTTGAATTAGCTAGTTACTTTGAAGTCTGTATTTAAGGGTGATTTCCTATGCGAGGAAAGAAAATAAATCCTAGTGTTGACTGACATTCTCAGTAATTTCTAATGACATTGTTTTTACTTGTTAAGTAGAAAATTTCTAACTTGATAAATACTTTTCTTACAGTTTATCAGTATTTGTGTGATCAAATTGCTGTTTTGTATCATCTTAAACTTGCCCCCCATACCTCCCTTCTTTTTCTTTGACCCATTGACTCATCTTCTTATCATCCAAACATTAGACTTCCTTTTAATACTAGTTTCTGTCTTATTTTAGTGTGTTCCTTTTTGTTTTTGTTGCTGACCTTTCTGTCAAATTGTGTTAAATAGTTTGAGTAAAGAATAAAATGATTATCATTTGGAGTTTAGGGATTAGGCATACCTTATAGTTACTTTGAAATCTTTTGGGAAACTTAAGAAAAATATTCCTTTATTTATATTATCTTGGAATTTGTGATTTCTTAAAAGTAACTTTGCTTAGCCATACTTCTATGAAGATTAACAGTCTATTCAGTTAATAAATTTCTAGCCAGAACTTTAGATCACAGCTATGTGGTAGTGGTGTGATTTTTTTTGTGTGCAGCTTTTAATGTTTTAAGAAAACGTGATGCAAAGAAGTTTTCTTACAATCACGTTAACCCTAAATCTCTTGTGTAAATTATCTGCAACTCTATTTCAGGTATTTTTTTTAATAGATTTGTGTTTGTTTTTTAATGTAGAAAAAGTTGGTGAATTTATAGTGTGATGTGAATTTTTTTTTAATAATCTTTTCTTTTTCCAGCAGAGAGAGATCATCATTGCCTGAGTTAGCTTTGTGAGTACAACAACAAGAAGTGTTCCTGTGTGGGAGACAAGGCCAACTTTATAATATCATCCTGTCATTTTATGTTTGCCTTTTTACCAATTTGAATAGATGTTTACATGTACTATAATTAACAGTACATAGCTGCAATTCCTTAAGGGTATATAGGAATCTAGAGGTGTACTAGAGTGTGTATTTTGAGTTTAATCTAAATGTTTTCCTCCTTCACTTAATGGCCCAGTAGTTAGTAAACATTTAGGAAGGAACATGACCTCTTTGTTTCCTAATGTAAGTTCATCTTAGCTAATTCAGAAGTGTGTCCAGGAAACCTATAAACATTGATGCGTGCTCATTACCAGGAATAATTTAGAATGAGGAAAGTGATCAAAATGCTAATCATAGATTTAATTTTAGAGTATATGTGGAGGGCTACAGCAATCTTTAAAATAATTTTGAGCAAATGATAAAATACTTTTAAAAAAATCATTTTATTAGGGGTTCATACACCCCTTATCACAATCCATACACACATCAACTGTGTAAACCACATTTGTACATTCATTGCCCTCATCATTCTCAAAACATTTCCTCTCCACTTAAACCCCCGGCATTAGGTCCTCATTTTTCCCCTCCCTCCCCACTACCCCCTCCCTCATGAGCCCTTGATAATTTATAAATTAGTATTTTGTCATATCTTGCACTGTCCGACATCTCCCTTCACCCACTTTTCTGTTGTCCGTCCCCCAGGGAGGAGGTCACATATAGTTCCTTGTAATCGGTTCCCTCTTTCCTACCCACTCTCCCTCTACCCTCCCTGTTTCGCCACTCACACCACTGGTCCTGTAGGGCTCATCCATGATAAAATACTTTTTATACACTACAATAGCCTACTTATTCTGAATATGAAAAACAAGAGGAAATAGTATTGTATGTCTAATATTGCTCAAGACTGTAGTTTTTAAAATTACATGTCCAAATTACTAATAAACAATATGGTTTATAAATATTTATAAAAACTGATTAAATCACACCTTACAAATTCACCCACTTTATTTATAATAGAAACTCTAAAAAAGTTTTTACAAAATTAATTCTTTGGTATTTTTTATAGATTCTTATGAAATATATGAGAAATCAGAAGTTTTCTTTCTTTTTTAAAAAAAAATACGGAACTCCACGAATTTGCATGTCATCCTTGTGCAGGGAGGGGCCATGCTCATCTTCTCTGTATCGTTCCAATTCTAGTATATGTGCTGCTGAAGTGCGCACAGAAGTTTTCTTTTGTAATCAGTCCAAATTGTACTTTATACAAATTTATTTTGATTTATTTTAGTTCCATCCAGCAGTGCTCATTTTGCAAAGTTGACTATTCCACAAACACCCTTTTCTTGCAGCTTTCTCATGAAAAATAAAAAAAATTTCAATGAACCTAATAGTCACAATGTAACTTATCTATGTTGGGCATGTCAGAGTTAACATTAGGCTTGGTACAAAGGAAAAGTGTGCATTTTGGAAAGTTAAACATAATTATGACTTTGTCCCAAGACATTTTTAAAATTTGACAGTTTGGTTCATGTTTATAAACTAATGAATAGCTACAGAGAGAGTTTATATTTTTTCAGATTTTTCAATACTTTACAAGGAAAGGTTCTTTGTCTGTATAATAGTTCTGTTGCTAGGTCAGAAACTCCAAGAACATCGTCTAAAGATACAGTACTTGCTGTTAATCATTTTGATTGACTAATGGATGTGGAGTGGACCACTTAACGCCCACCATCATTAACTTTGGGTCAGCTTGCTTGCTGGCTTTTCTTTTAAAATACAGCAAAACAAAATTGATTATGCCAGTGGAACCACAGGCAAGATACTTATTAGATTTTTCAAAAGATCATTGTGCCTTTTGAAAATTTCTGTGAGATCCAGTAATTCATTTATTTATTTAAATTCTCACTTGTTGATTAAAATGATCATTATTCCATTTCCTTGTATGTGATTCACGTGGAACATTGGGTAAATAACTGTACAGAACCACTTGTGTAATTTAATGAAGCAGTTTACTCCTGTGCATGATTACATTATGGAAATCTTTTCTAGATCTTTATATTTTTTTACATACATATATTTTACACCGTTAGCTGCCCTAGGCAGTCTCTTTCTGTGTGTGTGTGTGTGTGTGTGTGTGTATTTTTTTATATAGAATTTATATTTATGCTCAAAATACAGGTCACCTGAATGTTATTGGTCTGGTTTATAAGATAAATAATACTTTAAAGTGATGCTGCCCCTCTCGGATGTTTTAATAAAAAGACATTGGTGCTATAAACCACTTGTCTAAAACTTAACTAGACTTGTGGCTTACTCTAATCTTGCAACGTAATTATAAAAGTATGTGGTGAATTACAGAAAGAGGCTAGCCCATAGAAAACACCTTATAATTTAAAGATCTAGTCATAAAAGAAAACTATTAATATTTGCCCAGCTAGCCAAAAAGAAAATAGAGTTCTTTCAATTTATTATCACCTCATTTGATTAGAAGAAAGGGTGTTAATTTGGTTTATAATAAAAAATTATAACAAATTCAGCATGACTTGGTACCCACATTTCAAATAGAAACCTTGTTCTAGTCTCAAAATATGATGTAGTCCCTTACTACTTTAAATTTCCCCCTTTTTTACACTCAAAAGTTGACAGAATAACTCTTAAATATATATAACACATTAGATGAATTATAAAGGAGGTGCATTACTTACATGTGCAAGTTTTACACTAATGTATACATAGAATTTTTGTTTTGACCTCAAGACTTCATTCCAGTGCCATAGTGAATGTTCTTAAAGATTCCATTTTGTAAGTATCAGCAAAAACATGCATAAATGTTTACTTTAGATTCTCAGGATCCTGAACTTGTTTAGAGTATGATAAAATTCAGAACATAATGTCTGGCACAAGACTTCCTTTAATATGTGGTTTATTTTATTTCAATTTTCTGTAGATTGTAGAATCTAAATACACCAAAGGAGTCTTTTCTTGTCTTGTTTGTTCCAGCTTTTTAAATATCCCTGCCCATAAATACCCATTTCATGAATATGTGTTAGCATGGGAGAAAATTCCCTGTTCTTTGGCAAGAAAGTAATTGGTTAAGCTGTAGAAGCTATTTTTTTTAAGTGGTATTAAAACTTGAACTGCCAAAGGTAAAACTTGAACTAGAAAATTACTCTTGTGTGCTTAGAATATGTATAATAATATATGTTTATGTGGGGTCGACAGCATTTTTATTATATGTAGTTGAATTATGTTATTTGGTTTGTTAAATATCCATAATGTTTATTATTTTTATACTTCGAAACTTTTAAATAAAATAGTCTTATTAAAAACTCATGTTAATTTTGTAAAATTGTCCTGCATCTTGCATTAATTATTTTAATGAAGGCTAGAAAGAAAAATAAATCATCCTTAGGTATTACATAATTGAGATGTCTAAAAATACAAAGAAATGGCTTTACTTTGCCTCTTCTGTTTTCTACTCTGAATTCTGCTTTAAGTTGTTCTCAGTCAGCATTGGCACCAATGTGTTATTACCCTAGTGCCTGACTCCTTTTCTCACATTCACAAATTCTCACTACTCTACTTCTAAGTAACTGCCTCTACTGCTAGGCATTTTCTCTTCATTTGGGATCCAAAAGTTCTCTTGATCATGGCTGATACAAAGAAAGCATTCTGATCTTAAAGATTCTGAAAGGAAGGTAAATATAAATTCTGTAATTTAGGCTGAACCTACAAAGCCTTGAAGTTTTCAGACCATTCCGTCTTAGTTTTCAGAACATTTTTTTCCTCATAAAATTTGGCCTGCTTTTTTGAACATTGCATATTTATTTTATATTTAATTTTGTTAAAAAAACATTTTCTTATTGGAAATATACTATAAATCACCTAGGGCAAAATGAAACCAACCTCATTGCTGTCTTGTCAATTCAGTCTCATGGCAACACTACAGGACAGGGTAGAACTGCCTTTTGGGGGTTGCCAAGGCTGTAAATAGCCCCTTTACCCCAAGAAGCAGCCAGTTGCTCTAAGCTGCTGACCTTTCATGGTAGCTTAAGATGCTACCAGAATTCCAGGATTTAACCTCGATAAAATGGGTTAAATAACCTGATTTTAACCCATCTTTCCTCTATATTCAAAGGAAAAGTAGATTTTTATCACAAAGTATGCATGGTGGTGTTAAGTTCCAAGGAGTCTCAGCTCTAACCCATAGTGACAACATAGTCGAACCGAGTTAAACTGCGTGGTCCTTTGCCATCTTCACAATAGTTATATTTAAACATTTTGCAGACACTGTTAATCCACTTCTTTGTGGCTTATCTTTTTTGCTTAGCTACTACCAAGCATGATAATAGAGTCATCCTGCCTCATAACATGTTCAATGTGCACAAGACTAATTCTTGCCATCCTAGTTTAACTGATAGAAACATGTTAGAACTGGTTGTGAGCCAGAGGATTCTAGCTTGAAATAGTAGAGGGTCCTTGGTTAGTAAGTGATAACACACTTGGTAAAATGAGTGTATATGTAATCCTGTGTAGTACTTACAGATTATACATGTTAATGCTAGATTTTCAGTTACCCTGGAAAGTATTTCTGCAAAATGATTTAATTTTGAAACGTGAAATGTGTTAATATAGAGATGTTTCAAATGTAAAGTGATAACCACTTCATAATTACTGTTAAATCAGTTCTGAATCACCATATTTTTGAAAATCTGACGTGTATTGTAATATACCCTCTTTTCACTTCTGTGGATAAATTTTAGAGTCCTATTAAATGTAAAGGTGGGTTGTACAGAGAGTACAATGGCTGCTAACCTAGAAAGTCGTCTGTTTAAACACACCCCATGGTAACATGGAAGAAAGCCCGGGGAGCTGCCGGCCTCCATGCAGATCACAAGAAAACTGTGGAGCATTTCTGGAACACACGAAGTCACCCTGGGTTTCACAATTGACAGTAACATGTTTGGTTTATTGTGTATAAAAAAATAACAATCCCATTACCATCAAATTGGTTCCAACTCGGCACTATTGTAACAAGCCCTGGTGGCATTGTCTGGATAAGTGTATTGTGAACTGTAAGGTTCAACCCCACATCTGCTTCAGTAAAGATAACTATGAGTTAGAGTCGGCTTGATGGCAGTTGGTTTGGAACTTGGATAGAAGCTGCCTGCCACGTTTTTCACCTGCTTATTTGCTAGTGGTTCTGAACCACTGACCTACCTTTGAGTTCAATGAACCATAATCCTCATTTTGGAAGTTTAGGGTCTTTCTATTTTTAAATTTTACCTTTAAGGAATTTTGTCTATATACGTGAGCATCTCTGTGCTTTTGATTATTTATACAATCTTAGAACTGGGATTTGGGTCAACGTATGAGGGTGTACCCCCAAAAAGCAAAAAAAAATTTCAAAGCTATGTATTTAACATTTTTCTTACAAAACAGCCTTATCACCTTCAAAGTACTCTCCCCAGAACACCTAATACATTTGTCAAATCTGCAGTTCCATTCTTGGAAACGTTTTTCAAGTTCATCTGTTCAGATGGCTGACAGCCATTTTTTTCTTTACCGTTTCTGTGTCCATCAGATCGCTGACCTTTAATGTCCCTCTTCTTTCGCAGAATCAAAAAAGTCACATGGAGTGATGTCCGGTGAGTAAGGTGTGCTGTTTTTTGCCAAAAACTGGCTCAATGAGATACCTGTGTGAGCAGGTGCATTGTCGAGGTGGCAAAACAAGTCCACCAGTCTGCCACAAATCAGGCCTTTTTTGCACACTGTTACGCTATCTTCAGGACCTCTAAATAGAAAGCTTTATTAACAATCTGACCTGGTGAAACACTCCACATGCACTAGCCCCATCACATAAAAAAAAAAAAAGTTTTGTCTTGATTTATTTCACTTGAGCTTTTTGCCGGTGAGGTGATGATGGTGTCTTACGCTGGCTGGATTGATGTTTGCTTTCAGAGTTGTAAGAATAGTACCATGTCTGGTCACCAGTAATGACTTTGGAAAAAATGGGTGGCTTCAGAGCTCTTCTTTCAAACTGCATCATATTTCCACTGCACACACTTTTTTAATGGTCAGTCAGAACCCGAGGCACAAATTTCTCAGTGACCTTCACATTCCCAAATTTTCCATTAAAATTCTCTGAACTGAGCTCCAAGGTAGTTCAGATACTTCCCCATTACTGCAGTGGTTCATTGTTGGTCTTCAAGCACAAGTGCACA